TTGCCAGAAATGCCCGTCTTCCTTTAGCCCTTCACCTAAGAAACTCCTACTCATCCCTCAGCGCTCAGCTCCAAGGTCTGACCTGAGCCCCCCTTGGGTGACATCTCCCTTTCCTAAGCATCCCTATTGTGATTGTGTGTTTAGTCTCCCACTCTCCCCACTGGACTCAGCCCCTGAGGGTGGACCACATCTACCTAGCTGCTGCAGATTCCCAGGTCCTAGCGGTTCCTGGCACATAGTAGGCACACAAGAAGTATCTGTGGACTCTGTGCATGCCTGCCTCCTAAGTACCAGGTGCTCCAAAACATTCTCATTTTTTACATTCACCCCTAATGAGGCCCTGCAGGCTCAGAGAGGGCAAGCAACTTGCCTCCGGCTGCACACCCGCAAGCCAGGAATGTCCAACCCTACACCCAGGCCCTTTCCCCCACACCTCATCACTGGGAGGCCTTCTTTGAGGCCTGGAAATTACTCCTTGCCTTGTTCAGGAGACACGTACCTGCATCTTCAGGTTCAGATGCTGTAACTGCAACGTAGAGAGGGGTTGCCTGCAGGCATTTAAAAATGAGTCACTAGCTTCAAACCTAAAGTAGTAATAGCTGACACTTAACACAGCACTTACCCAGGCCTGGCACGGTTCTAAGCACTTCAGTGTAGTAATTAATTTAACCTTCACAACAACCCTATGAAGTAGTCACTCTCATCATCTCTACTTTCTAGATGAGAAAACGAGTTCAGAGGGTTTCAGTAACCGCCCAAGGCCGCAGAGCTACTAAGTGACAGAAGCAGGATTTGAATTCAGGTGTCCATGCGTAACCACTGCGCTGTGCCCATAGGCATGGCTCACTTGGATTTTGTCCCTCGAGTCACTGTGGAGGACAGGGTCTAATGTCAGGGCCCAGCCCAGCTGACCGCAGTGGAGTTGGGGAACACGTCCGACACTGTGTTTCCTTCCTGTGTTCCCAAGCCCAAGCTCCAGGGCAGCAGTTCTCAACCTGTGGGTCGCGACCCCTTTGACGGTTGACCGACCCGTTTTCACAGGGGTTGCCTAAGACCATCCTGCATATCAGATATTTACATTATGATTCATAACAGTAGCAACATTACAGTTATGAAGTAGCAACGAAAATAATTTTATGGTTGGGTCACACCATTAGGAACTGTATTTAAAGGGCCAGAAGGCTGAGAACCACTGCTCTAGGGCATCTGTGAGTGTTGGCTAAACAGAGTGACAATGCCCCGGTGTGTCCCTCCCTCCCAGCAGTCTCCTCCCCTCTGGTCCTGTATCTGCTCCCGCAGTCACCTAGGCCAGGCCCTGCAGGATTTCTCCGAGTTGCTCTCCTAGGCTCCGCCTTGGACAATAAGTTCAAGGAGGTGTCACTGGCCTGGTGGGTGAAGGCAGCGGGGAGCTCACATCCAAGGCCTGCTTTCCTCCGTCATCGCCTCGCTGTGAGCCCTGGGCTGGGAACCTGATGGCCTCCCCTTGTCTCTGGTCCCCACTCTTGTCTCCCCACCACTGCAGGTCTATAAACACCACCTGCCAAAGCTGAGGGGCCTGCTTTGGGGTCCCATGACTCCACCTCCTCCCCCAGAGGATGGGGCTGTTGAACCCTGCAAAGGCCATGTCTTCCCCTCTGGTTTCTGAGCCCCGTCCCCCACTGGCACTGGGTGCTGCCACCACCCTTCCCTCTGCATTCTCCCCGCTCTTGGCTTTGGGGACATTGGGCTCTGCAGCCCTGAAGTTCCTCCACCAGCCTCCCTCCATGGCTCCTCTTCCCCAGCCCTCCCCTCTTTGGGGTGATCTCTTCCCCTCAGCCAGGCTCCATGCAGATGGCTCCAGATCCCCACCCCAGGCTCCCTCAGGCACCTCAAACTCTGCACCCACCTACCATCCCCATCACATGTCAACTTCTCCCCCAGGCCTGCTCTTCCAGGGAACGGTTCCACCCAGCTGCCAGAGCTGGGACCCAGACCCCTGTCCTCTATAGTCATGGGGCCTGTGCTCTCATCTCCTGTCCTCCTCGTCCTATCCTCACTGCCTCTGCCCTGGCCCAGACCACTGCCCCACCCCACCCAGGGGCAGCCTCTGATGGATTCCCTGGTCCCCCACATTGCCAGCACCTTCCTACGCACCCTCACTCCTCAGAATCAGGTCTTAATGAGCCTCAGGCCCCACTGAGGATTGGTTGCCTCCTGCACGTGCTCTGACCAGGGCCAGGGATGGAGCCTACAACTGAGGTGCATGTCCTAGACCAGACTGGAACCCGGGACGCTTCAGTCCCAGGCCTGTGCTCTATCCACTGAGCCAAACCGGCCAAGGCTAAAAAAGTCTTACACGTGCCAATTCCTCATTCCCACCCACCCCCTCTGGACCTGAAAGCCCGAGGAAGGGTGGGGCGCTGCCATGGAGTGCTGCTCAGGGCTGCAGAGGCCTCGGGGGCCTCATCCTTTTCCAACTGTTGGCCGCCTTCAAGGACCCAGTGCGATGTGGCGCTCACTGCCCTCCCGCCCGGTGCCTACATGGTGCCTGGCAAACAGGAGAGCAGTGGTTCTCAACCTTCTGGCCCTTTAGATACAGCTCCTCATGTTGTGACCCAACCATAAAATTATTTTCGCTGCTACTTCATAACTGTAATGTTGCTACTGTTATGAATTGTCATGTAAATATCTGATATGCAGGATGGTCTTAGGCGACCCCTGTGAAAGGGTCGTTGGACCGCCAAGGGGGTCGCGACCCACAGGTTGAGAACCGCTGCAGTAGAGCCTCAGAAACCCTTGCACTGCCTCTTTCTGGGGGTGGGACCTGGGACACAGGCTTGCCTCTCTGAGACGCGGGTTCCCCATCTGTAATTGCGGACAGCACTGATTTGACCTCAGGGGTTGCCTCCAGGACCACGATCTTAGCCTTGTGCAACACCTACCACATGGTGCAGGACCCAGCTTCCTACCTTGGGGCTTTCCTCCTGAACACACCGGGAACCCAGGCCCTGGAAGCGAGCAGCGTTCAGTCGTGTTCCTCCGAGGGCAAACAGCTCAGATGCCTGCAGAGGCCTGCCTCCCCCAGCAGAGCTCCTGTCCTCTCCTCCCGCCAGGTTGCCTGGTTCTGGCCACTTCCCCAGGGCTTAGGGACTAGAGGTGGGAAGGGCTGAGCCATCATGGAGCAGTGGTGACCCCTGGTGGCTAAAAGATGCAGAACAGCAACGAACATCCCTTTGGGTCTCTGATCAAGGACCCATCCACCCACCCGACGACGACACTGCTGGGTGGCTCTTCTCATTCCATCTACAAAGAACATATTTATTTCAAAATATACATATATTTTTATTGATTTTAGTGAGAAAGGAAGGGAGGGGGGAGAGAGAAACAGCGATGAGAGGGAAACATCAACATCGATTAGCTGCCTCCTGCACCCCTGCTGGATGGAGCCCGCAACCCAGGCACAGGCCCTGACAGGGAGTCAAACCCATGACCTCTTGGTACATGGGTCAACACTCAACCACTGAGCCTCACCGGCCGGCCGAAAAACTATTTCTGACCTTGGCAGTCAAGGTCCCAAATGGTCATTCCAGCCTTCCAGCCATAAGTCTCAGCCTCTCTTACCTCCTCTCACCCCCTCCACGACAGCCACCCCACCCTGACCTGACTTACCATGCGTCCGTGCTCAGTATGTGCTGGGCACCATGCCGGACGCTTTATGGACGTTTAAACATTTTATCCTCATGACCCTGGAAGAAAGTATTACTATTCCCACGTTACAAAGGGAGCTCAGCACGATTGAGTGGTCTGCCCAACGTCACTCAGCTAGGAAGCAGCAGAGGCAAGATTTGAACCCAGGACTCCAGATCCATCCAGGTCATGGTACGGTATGAAACTCGTGCATGCAAATGCAGGGCTGTGACATGGATGTAATAGATGGAATTTCTGAGACCACCTAAGCAAGCGACTGTCTGGGCTGACGGGGGAAGGAAGGCTTCCTTTCTGAGAGAGGACAGTTGAGTTGGCTCTGCAGGATTAGAATAACTTTCCGAGGCAGAGAAGGCAGGAAGGGCATTCCGGGTGGCAGTCACAGCACAAGTCAGCACGGGGAAGGAGGGTGGCAGAATGGCATGTGTTTGGGGACCAGCAAAGACCCACGTAGGCTGAAGTGGGGCTGTCAGAAAGGAGCAGCGGAAGATACGCTGAGAGGCAGCAGGGCCCTGGCGAAGAGTCTGAATGTGGAACCGAAGGTCTGACCGGCGATGGAGGCTCCTAGGTCAACAGTGCTGTGTGTTGGGGGGCGGCTGGTCCCTGAAAACCTGCTCCCCTCTTGGAGGCATTGCTTCCTCAGGTGCGCTTAGCACAGAGTGGGACTGATGGCCTTCCTGTCTCCCCCTTTCCCCACAGAACTACTATCCAGGCCCTGGAAATTATGGAGAGAAGGGCAACCCATACACAAGGCTGGAGAAAAAGGCCTGGGACCGGTCTCACTCCGAGGGCCTCATGTGCCGGATGACCAACAAGCCGCAGCCCTTGGGTCATGAGGTAGCCCCTGCCCCTGGCCGAGCCTGGCCGCCTGCCTGCGTAGTCCTGGGAGCAGACTTCCAGAGCAGACAGGGCCCTGAGACCCCCTGGAGGTAAGGGGCCTGCGACGGCAGCCCTCCAAGAGACGGGCATCTGTGCTCTGTTCCAGGGCAGCGGCCTGGCACCATGCACCTACTCCTTCAAAAGTGGCATAGAGGCATACGTGGCACGCGCCATGGGCACCCGCGGCCCCTACGACACTTTCTCCGGCGACCGAAGCAAGCCCCAACCTTACGGACATTTCTCTGTGCAGGTGTGTACCTTGCAGGGGTTGGATTTCCCCAGCAGGATAACAGGCCTCACTGCCCCCCGCCCCTCCCCGGAACACCACCGTGTGCTGGGCACCATGTCCCCCCCCACATCCTGTCACTTCACCCTCCAGCAGGGCGAGAGAGGGCTCCCTGTGCTAGATGAGGAAACCGAGGCTGGCCACCCGTAAGGTGCTGAGCTGGGATCTGAACCCCCACACGTCTCTCTGACGTTACCGCCAGTCCTCTCGCCTCTGCACTGGCAGGAGTTACGGAGGCAGTGCAGATGGCCGCAGTGCCGCCTGGATGGGAGACGGGCCACAAAGCCTGCAGGGACTGCCACAGCTCAGGTCTGGGTCCTGCTGTTCTAGACACACTTACTTTCCGGGCATCACAGACCCAGCTAAGCTGGCTGGGTAGTGGCACGCTGTTAACTGGGCAGAGAACTGGAGGGCTGGGAAGGGAAACTGAGGTATAATTTTAGCTCGAGCCTGGCCAGTGTGGCTAGGGGTTGAGTGTCGACCCATGAACCAGGATCCTGGTCAGGGTTCAATTTCTGGTCAAGGTTCGATTCATGGTTAGGGTGGCTTGATCCCCAGTAGGGGGCATGCAGGAGGAAGCTGACCAATGATTCTCTCTTATCATTGATGTTTCTCTCTCTCTCTTCCTCTCTGAAATCCATAAAAATACATTAAAAAAAAAAGAATTTTAGCTTGAGCCTCCCTTTCCTGGACCCATCAAGTCCCTGTTGTGAGATCCATCGCTCCCTGTGCTTTGCTTTCTTCATGCTCATAGCTACTGGACTTCAGTGTTTGTGTAATGATCTATTTTTTGTCTCCACTATGCATTCGCTCCATGTGGACGTTTAGGCCAGGTCATGGTCTGGGTGCAGGGCAAACCTGCCCCTTTGGCGGTTACATGCTAATGGAAATGGAAACATAGTCATGAGTGAAAAACAAGATAGAGTGTTAGCAGGTGGTGAGGGCTGTGTAAAGGGCACCGGGGTGCTAGGAAGAGGCTGGGTGGGGAAATGTTGAATGCTTTTGGGTCAGTTGGTAAATGGCCACTGAACTGAGCCACCGATGCCAGCAGTCCTGCGCTGAGCGTCTGGCCCCTGGTGGTCACTGCGTGTCATAGCAACTGGTCGTTCTGCAGTTCGGTTGATTTGCACATTAGCCTTTTATTATATAGGATGAGCCTGCATTGACACATCATGGCCCGAAGTCCACAGCTGACATTAGCTTCCTAGTGGCGTACATTCTGTGTGTTGGGACAGATGTATAATGATATGTACCCACCAGTACAGTATCATACAGACTAGTTCTCTGCCCCAAAGTCCTCAGTGTTCCCCCATTAGACTCAGTAAATGTTCATGAAACAAGTGAAGGAAAGAAGGAATGGATATCCTCAAAGTGGGCCTGTGGGTGAGGGTGCTAGAGAATGTCCAACTGACCCGCCCCAGCTGGGGCTGCCTTCACCTGCCTCGGGGTGGCCGCTTGCTTGTCTCCGATTGCTGGGGAGGGTCCAGAAAGGGACCCTTGATTTCCCTGGCTTAGCAGATAACCTTTCCCTCCTCTCTGTTTCTTAGAAAAAAAAGCCCAGTGAGCTGATGAATGTCAAGAGCTTCATGGAAGACCTTAACTCTGCTTGCAATAAGAAGCGTGGGGTGTTTTCGAAACTTTCCCGCAACCCAACCACCCCTTCCGAGAGGATTTACTGGAGCACCCTCAGCCAGTGTCCCCGAAAACTAGTCAGTGTCTCCTTACTCTCTTGGAAAGCACTCCTGAGGGCCAGGGTACAGTGCGGGCGATTTCAGGGGCTCAGGGGGAGAGCTCAGCCTCCTGTCAGACCCATCTGGTTCCCAGTCCTGGTCTTGCACTTCCCAGTCACGCTGGGTGAGCCCCTCTCGCTCTCTGAGCCTTGCTTTGCACCTGGATCTAACCAGGAGCATACCAGGTGGCTGTGAGCACTAAATGAGGTTAAGGACTGGAGCCCATAGGTGGAGCCTGGTCCGAGAAAGTGCCCGGCCAGCATGGATCTGCACCCTACTTCCCCTCCCCTGGAGAGAAAACACGAGTTTGGGGAGGAGGGACACCGGGCAGGGCAGGGTGTGAACAAGGGCTCTACCCAAACAGGACTGCATGCCTGTTCCCGCTGAGGGAGTCTTGGGCTCCCCTCTGCAGGGTGGCAGACTGTCATCTGAGTAGGTCCCCAACTTTAGCTGGGCCCCCCTCCCCAGCAGGGTCTGGGGAAGGGAAAAGGGTGCCGACATTTCCCAAATGCCTGCTCTGGGCCTGGCACCTTCCAGCATCTCCACCCATGGAGGGAGTTCCCTTTGCATTTCCCAAAAGGAAACTGAGCCCCAGAGATAGGGAGGGCTTGCCCAGGCTCCCCCAGCGAGGGTAAGAGGGAGCCGGGCGGACCCAACTCATCGAGCTCCCAAGTCTGGAGGCTTCTGCTCCCAGGCTGGGTCTGCCATCTCTCTGCACCCTCCCAGGCCTGGAGGACCCTGGGAACCTGGAAAGAGGTGTCAGGCTAGAGGGTGGGGGTGGGTATGGGTGGCATGGATTTATGAGGGCACCATAGGGCCCTTCACCCCTGGGAGGTGGGTGCCTGGTGAGTTGGGAGGTGGCTGGCCTCCTACTGTCCTTGGCTCAAGGCCCAGGGCTATCGGGCGCCTGCACCTGCCCTGGCCCCAGGCTGACCACTGCTAGACCTCCCCAGCTTTCCGCCTTTATCCCTTACCCCTAGGCCACGTCTGGGCCGGGCATGTGGCTTCCTCCAGAGAAGGAATGCAAACGGGGCACCCAGCCACCGTTCCTGCTGTCCTCCAAGCGGACCAGCGGGAGGAGCACCCAGATGCTTCTGGGGAGCTGGGTGAGTGTCTGCGGGGGTGATGAGCAGCCCAAGCCCCCTGGCCCTGGGAATGGATGCTCTGAGTGAGCCCTATCCCCCACCTTTTCTCCCCCAGGGACTAACCACTCCCACTATCATATTTCTCTAAGACATCAGTTTTCAAACTTGAGCTGCATTAGCATCCCCGTAGAGGGCTTGTTAAAACACAGATTGCTGGGCCCCACACCAGAGCACCCGATTCAGAGCCTGGGGCGGGGCCTGGGAATTTCCACTTCTAACAAGTTCCCAGGACTGCACTTGGAGAACCACTGCGCTAAGGGACACCACCCAGAACTGTCTCATTCTCTTCTTTTTTCAGGGGAGCGCGCCCTCCCTTCTCTTTTGTATTTGTCTTGAGGCCTCAGAGGCAACTGGTGGAATTGGCCCATTTCTCTTCCCTGGCTGAGCAAGGACTCCAGTGTCCCCCCTTTTTCCATCTTCCCCCTCTCCAAAGGCAGCCAACCCCACATGTGTGAGGTAATCTTCCCCTGTCCTGACTTACTGTAGCACAGGTTAGTTGTGCCTGGTTTTGAACAGCTGTATTTTTTTAAAAAAAAATGTATTTTTATTGATTTCAGAGAGGCGAGAGAGAGAGAGAGAGAGAGAGAGAGAGAGAGAGAGAGAGAGAGAGAGAAACATCAATGATGAGAATCATTGAATGTCTGCCTTCTGCATGCCCCCTACTTGGGATCGAGCCCGCAACCAGGGCATGTGTCCTGACCGGAATCAAACCATGATCTCCTGGTTCATATGTCGATGTTCAACCACTGAGTCATGCCGGCGGGCTGAACAGCTGTATACTTTTAAGGCCTCTCCTGGTCTCCCTGGGAACATCTGCTTGTAACTCACTTGTCTTCTCATTATGCTCCCATTGCCTCATCCCCACCCCACACCTGAGCTCCAGTCCCGAGGACAGCAGCATGCCAGCCACCCCACCTCTCCACCTCCTCCTTCCTTTTCTCACCGCCAGCCTGCATCTCCTACAGGGAGGGGGGTCTTCCCTCGGACACCCCAAATAAGATGTTTAGAAAAGAGCCAAATGACCATGCTGCTACCACAGGGCAGGCGGGCAGAAGTGGGAGGGCTGAAGGGGGGCCCGGGTTCCAGAGGCTGAGCTTGCCCGCACATCTGGCTGGGAGCCTGCTCCCCCAGGAGACAGGCCTTTCTCTTGTTGGCAGCAAGTTCAGCTTCACATTGGACGAGGGTGTGGTTCCCAGCATCTCCCAGCTCACCCTTGGTGCCGCTTCTCCGTGGGTGGCGGGTCCCTGTCTGGAGTTTGCTCTGCCCTCACTAGTCGCCCTGGGCAGGTTGACCTCCTCTCTGAACCTCTGTCTCTTGTATGTACGGCCGACCCAGGTTTCTGGGTGGGGTGGCATCTTTATTTCCTAGGGCTGCCATACAAAGTACCACAAACTACTAGATGGGTTAAAACAGCAGGAACTGACCCGCTCACAGGTCTAGAGGCCGGAGGCCTGAAATCCAGGTGTCAGCAGGGCTGTGCTCCCTCTGAAACCTGCTGGGGGAATCCTCCCTCTGCCTCGCCTTGGTGGCCAGCAATCCTGGGGCTTCCTTGGCTTGTGGATGTATCGCCCCAATCTCTGTGTCGTATGGCCGTCTTCTCCCTATCCCTACCCCCGCTCCGTCTCCTCTTCGGTACGGACACCTATCACGTTGGGTTAAGAGCCCACCCTACTCCAGGGCAACGTCATCTTAACTAATTGCATCTGCAACTATAGGATTTCCACATGAGGTCGCACTCTGAGGGGTTGGGGTTAAGGCTTCCACATATTTTGGGGACACACGTCATCCCATCATAAAGACAGTAGGGAGGAGCCTGGAGAGGGAGGAGCCTGGGATCACATCTCCAGGCCAGGCATCTACCTGCTCACAGCCTGCCTCCCTCCCTGTGCAGAACCCCGTAGGTGTGGGCTACTACCTCAACACCTGGCTGATGGAGAGCAAGGACCAGCGGCAGCGATATCGGTCCCTGTTCATGGGCGGAGCCAAGCGCTATCCCTCGAACCCGGCCCGGGACAAGTTCTTGCAGTGAGTGCCCCTGGAGCTCCAGCAGAGCTCACTCTAGGGCGGGCAGGGCCCTCCCCCAACTTGTGCTCAAGGGAACACAGCTGCTGCCCCAGAGCCTGCCAAATAGCTGTGGCCGTGGAGAGAGTTCAGACCCTGGCTCTGCCGATCACTGGCTGTGTGAGGTGGGGCAAGTTGCTTAACCTCTCTGAGCCTCGTTTTCCTTAACTGTCAAATGAGCAGAGGACTGCGGAGACCCAGATGAGAGGCTGTGGTAAGGAACAGGAACTCATCGGCACTAACTCCTGCCCCTGCGACCCACAAAGTCCAGGCTGCACCCCATGGAATCTCTGTTTCCTGGTGTTCATAGTGGGGTTGGTAAAACGCATTTCAGGATGCTGTTGTGAAACCAAAAGAAAAAACAAAGGGCTTGAAAACCAGAGCAGCTGTGAAATGGCTTGCAAGTGTTAGCGGCCGGCTGGCTGCCGCATTTTATTGACCTAAGAGGCCATTGGTTACAGTATGTTCTTAGTCTCAGGAATGTGAAAATATGAAGCATGCACTTTAGTTTGTTCTGTTGTTGGGAATCCCAGGGAGGGTATGAGGGCCAGGATTTCTCAGGGAAACCCAGCTTTTAATTGTTTATTTGTATCAAGGTCGTCCTGTGGCTTCCTTGTTTTGGTGGCTTCCTTAGAAATAGGAACGGGAGGTAACATTTTTGATAGATTGCATTCCAGAAAAATAATTATATTTCTTACCCGCGCAACTGATTGATGCTTTGATTGAATATAAACTTTTAGGTTGGAAATAATTTTCCCTTGGGATTTTGAAGACTTTGAGTTTCAAGTGTGGTTGTTGAGAATTCCGGTGCCATTCCGGTTTTCTGCCCTTTGTATGCAGCCTACATCTTCCCCTCTGGACCCTTTTAGGGTCTTTTCTTTGTCCCTCGTGTTCTGAAATTTCATGGCCATGGGTCTTCGTGTGAGTCTGTTTTCATTTATTGCTTTGGGTACTTCGTGGGTTCTTTCCTTCAGAAAACTCAGGACCTTCTATTTTTGTCTTTGACGATTTACTCCTTTGTCTCCTCTTTCAGATGAATGGTTTGACGCTTCCATTTTCTTTTTCCCCTTTATTTGCCTTATCTACCTTTTCTGTCCTACTTTCTGGTAAATTTTCTTTGTCCTCATCTTTCTTCCTTACTATTACCTTTTTATGTGTTGTCATCTTTTTTCATTCCTAAGAGCTCTTGTGTATGTGTGTGTGTTTTTTAATCCTCACCTGAGGATATTTTTTCCATTGATTTTTAGGGAAGGAGGGTGAGAGTGAAAGAGAGACAGACAAACATTGATGTGATTGGGAAAGGGACCCGCGGACATGCGGTAAGCTGGACTGCCACTCTAACCATTGAGCAACACCAGCCAGGGCCTCTTGTGTGTTCATGACACAGGACCCTGCTCTGTGTCATACATGCAGCATGTCTGTTTATCTCAGGATAATGAGTTTTCCGTAGGTTTCTTTTTACTCTGCATTGTCTCCACTTCCTCCAAGTATTTTTTCTTTCACTCGATTTGTAAAAATAAATAAATAAATAAATAGATAAATAAATAAATAATAAAGCAGGAGCACAGAATTAACAAAAACAAATGGGGACTGGATGACTGGAGGTGTTCTCACTGGGTCCCTCACAGCTCCTCCGTGTTGTGCGGTTGTGCATCCCTGCCTTGGCTCCAGGGCGGCGATCACAGTCCAGTGTGCGCAGCTGTGGGTGAGAGCGTGCAGACAGCCTCGGGCTGTGGAGCTGCTGAGGAAAGGCAAGGGTGAAGGCAGTGCTACCTTCCCATTTGTATCTGAGTGAGTGAGGCTCGGAGGGGTGGGGTGACGGGAAAGGCCAGGGTCCTGCAGCCAAGCAGAGGTCGGGCAGGGACGAGGAGCCAGCTCTGACTCCGACCTGTGCTTCAGCCTCTCTCCTCCTGGGCCCATTTCGGGGAGGCTGTGGGTTGGCAGGACACAACATGTCTTTGAACAATTGCTGTCTTCAGTCAGGCAAGGGAGGGCATGTGTGGGAGAGTGGCGAAGTCACCTTCTGGAATGCGTAGTTACAGCTAATCTTTGTCACCCCTCACTCCCAGCCTCACCTCCTCCTTCCTGCCAAACCGCGCCTAGCTGGGCAGCTGGGATTTAACCCCTGCCTGGGAAAGGCGGCCTTCTGTTTGTCGCTCCTTAGAACTGTGCTTATACATTTGGCTGACTGACCCTATGGAACAGGTTTTCCACCCGCTCACCTTTCTGGCTCGCCCAGGCAGGTCTTTTTATTCCATCTGGTCACCGGTGTCTGTGTGGACATGGGCTCTCTGTGCTCCAGCCAGGACTTGCTTTGTACTACCGGGCTACCCCCTTGCTCTTCAGCCTTTGGCCACGCTGTGATCTGTTCTTGGAATAGCCTTCTCCTAGTTTCTGGAAAACTCCTATTCATCCCCCACAACGGTGCCTAAACATGAGGCTTCCAAGATTTTTCCATTCTCAGCCTCTTGTGAGTTCCCTGGTTGGAGCACTTTCCCCATTATATTGTAACTAGAGGCCCGATGTACGAAATGTGTGCAAGGGGCTCCGCCCTTGCAGCCCCAACTTCGTCAGGAAGGTCGTCCGGAGAGTCATTTGGCTGTTTGGTCTAATTAGCATATTACCTCTTTATTATATAGGATATTTGTTCATATGCTTGTGGTCCCTACTGAACAGAACTTCTCTATTGTCTGGCTCCAGCATCTAGCCGGCATGTATAGGAGGAGCTCAGTGGATATGTGTCAGAGGACGAGTCAGGGCACTCATTGATGAAATGGCCCAGCGTCTGGGTAGTTCCATGAAAGAAACACCTGGGAACTCCCATTTAATTCGGGAGAAATTCATTTTTCCGTAATTTTTTTTTTTACCTGATGTCTTATGAATTTTTTTCAAACATACAGTAAAATTGAAATGATTTTACAATGTACCCCTATACCTGCCACTTAGATTATATCATTAATGTTTTATTCTTCTTGCTTTATGACATATACCTATTCATCTATTAATCTACTAATCATTCATCCATTGTCATTCTTCTATTACTCCTCTTATAATTTGATAAATTTCAAAGTAAATGGCAGACATCAGTATGCTTCCTACTAAGTACTTCAAAATGCATACTGCCTTTTTAGCATTTTAAACTAAAGCCATGTTCCTTGTCCAGAAATCTGAGGTTGAAGTAATATATATCCATTCTTTGTAATAATAATTATAATTGGAATATATTTATAATGTACAGTGATTTTCTTTCCCTTTTTAAAAATATTTTTATTGATTTCAGAGAGGAAAGAAGAGGGAGAGAGAGATATAGAAACATCAATAGTGAGAAAAAAATCATTGATTGGCTGCCTCCTGCACACTCCTACTAGGGATCGAGCCTGCAACTGGGCATGTGCCTTGACCAGGAATTGAACCATGACCTCTTGGTTCATAGGTTGACACTCAACCACTGGGCTGTATAAAGACTTTGTATGTCTTTACTGAACATAGTAACTTTAAAAGGTAGGTATTACGTGCAGTGTTTTTCAGTTGAGACAAATGCATTTGGAGAAAGTGTTTTCCTAAAGTCGCTGCTAGTCAGTGGTATTCGTGCATCTGGTCTCCAAAAATTAGTTGAGCACTTAATATCTGCCGGGCAAACCCTGCCTCCTAGAACATTGCAAAAGAGAACCAGGTAGTGGCTCGGCCCCACAGTGGCTCCCAGCTTCCTGGGGAAGGCACTCAGCCCCCTTTCTACAGTTACAGGGCAGCGTGAGAAGCAGGATGGGGGCAGACGGAACCCAAGACCTCTCTTCATTAAGAACACTTTCCCCGACTTTCTGGAGGATGAGAGCAGGAAGCTAAGGCAGAGACAGGGGAGGCTAAGGCAAAGCCAGCCTTCACCATAACCGTCTTCATGTCCTCGTCCCACCTGCCCTCACCTGATCACTTCCTTTTACCTCCTGGGCCTGTGCCTGCTGCTACGGTGGAAGTTAGTCAGGACATGGGGACTCTTAGGAAGTTCAGCACAGAGTTCCTGCTTCCTGCAATCCCCACGACGCATTTATTATTGAACACAGAAGTCTGGTGATTACCATGGAGACAGCATGGCGCCAGGGAAAGGCAGGCCTTGGCTCCAAGGCGAGGCCATCATTTTGCCCACTCTTCCTTTCCTTCCTTTCTTCCTCCTTTCCCTCCCTTCCCTCCTTCCTTCTTTCTCACCTATCTTCCTTCCTGTATTTTTGGCGGGGGTAGACACTTGAGCGTGTTTCTGGGCTGATGGGTTGGGCTAAATGATCTTTCAGGTGCTAGGATTCTGTATTTGAAGTTCTGACAAAGCAACTTGGGGGCTCTGAGGAGCTGAAATGGATGCGAAGTAGAGGGATCTCCTCCTTAGAAATAGGCTGCTTTGATAGAAAAGCTCCGGGGGTCAATTTTGGCCCCTCACCCCATGTAGGCTCTCGGTACTGGTTCACCCCTGTGGGCACCCTCCCGGGATGGGGGGCCCACTCCCTTCCATGGGACCAGTTCCATTTTCTTTTCCCCCTCTTTCTTTTTAAAGGGAAAGGATCACACCTTTTACTAAGGGGAAGTGCTTTACCACTGTGGATTATAATTCGGATCCTACTCCTTGAAGCCACATGTGAAGGACAGCCTGCGGTGACCAGAGGGCCCAAAGGACTGAAGACAAATCTGGGGATCGGAGGGTGGAAGTGGGGATGGAGGGGTCTTGGAGAGAGGACACTTGGGGATGCCGGGGAGAGGGGTGTTTTGTGGTAGTGGGATCACTTCTGTCGGAGACAACTCCCTGGGTCACAATGTCTGCTGGGACATCTGGAGCCAGGCATCTTTTGATATGAGAGCTCAGTTATCCTGAGAATTCAAACTGGCCAGTGACATGGACATGGGAGCCAGACAGCGGATGGACCGAAGGGGTGGCATACGGTGGGCACTTTTGGGACCCCTTCTATTCTAAAGCCGAAGTGTTCGACTCCCTGTTCATTAAATTCCAAGAGGTGGCCGAGTGTGGCGTGTGTCCTAAGGCAGCTCTACGTCCCCAGCAGGAGAACTCTGTCTCCATCCATTTTGTAGGCGAGGAAATAGTCTTCACAGGGTTCACTTGCCAAAATTTGTTAGATCACAACCTGGTGACCAAGCCAGGACTGTAGCCCAGAGCTCCTGACAACCAGGTCTGGTGCCTTAAAAAAGATACTCCCCCTCCCCCTGCCCTAGGCGGGCTGGCTCAGTGGTTGGAGCGTCAGCCAGGAATTGAGCTTGCAACTGGTGCACATGCCCTTGACCGGAATTGAACCCACAACCCTTTAGTCCATGGGCCGAGGGAGGTAACCAATTGATGTGTCTCTTACATTGATGTTTCTCTCTGTCTCTCCCACTCCCTTCCACACTCTCTAAAAATCAGTGGGAAATATCCTTAGGTAAGGACAAATAAAAAAAAGATAAAAAAGAGACAGAACCCACGGATACGGACAACAGTATGGTGATTGCAGGGAGGGAGAGGAAGGTGAGGTGAAAGAGGGTACGGGGGGACAAATGGTGATGGAAAAACAAAACAAAAATAAAGGAAAAAGAAAATCTTGAGGAAACTATTCTCATGCTTAGAATGATTCAGAATTAGTCTATTTTTAAAGATACCCCTCCCCCATCTGGTCACCCATTGCCTCACCTGGACCCTCCCCTGCTCCTCCCCTCCCCGCTGCAGTCTGCTCTCCACCTGGTGGATGGGAGGTCCTTTCACACCCACACCAGTTCACACTGTGACAAGGACAGAAAGTCACCCATGAGTCCACTGCCCTGATGAACATGGCACGTCCCTCATGTTCTGCCAGTCCTTGCTCAGGGGCACGCAGGTCCAGAGGGAAACGGGCCTGGTGAGTGGCAGAGCCTGCACTTGAGCCAGGTCTGACTCCACATTGGGGTCCCCAGAGCAAGAACCAACAAAGGCGACTTTCCAGGTCACACTTTTATTTTTACAGAAGCGGCGGCCACATGGCCGCAGGGACATAAGTGTTCTGGACAGTCGTAGGCACCGCGCCTGCCGTGCGAGAGCCTGCCAGGGAGACTCATGCCTCTCTCCTCCGGCCCCGCGACCAGGGAGGGAAAAATATCACACACACACCCCCTCCCTTTTAGCAACACCCCATTAAATGATACATCTGCCCAGCCGAAGAAACTGGCTGTAAGTGATTTTACAGGAAACCTTCATGCAGCCACGAAACTCATAGCCCTGGTGGGAGGGGCCTGTCCTTTTACTTTCTACACACTGGCCCCCAGTGCGAAGTTCAGCGCCATCTGGAACCAGCACACGGACGGACAGTGACGGGACTGGCTACGAGAAAGCTGGTAGCTCACCATGCTTGGAAGACTGCCCTTTCCAGGCAACACGTTATTGGAGTAAAACATTAACATGAGGCTGGTGCAATCCCAAGACCTTCCCTGCCCAGCCCCAGTTCCGGGTGAGGTCTGTGGACAGGATTTGGTTTGTGGGACTAAAAACAAGAGGCTGCTGGCATCTCTGGCCACATTCCCAGTGGCGTGTGGATGGAGGTCTCACTGGTGAAATGATGGGCGAGCCTTAGCTGCTGGGTTAATCTGCCCAGGTTAACCATTCCTCTACAGCAAGTAGGATCATCAGTTGAACCTGGCGCACACGGGCCCGCTGAGAGCTAATGCCAGAATTCACGTGCTTGGCATACAAGCTAGAGAACGGGGTTTTTATATTTCCCCTATGCCCCCTCCCAGAGGCCAAAGGGGAAGGGAGTTCCTTTGTCTTCTGAGTGCCATGCGTGCACCCAGCACTCACAGGACCACACTCAGGTACTTTGCAGTGTGCCAAGCCCTGGGGGGCGGGTGTGTGTGCGTATGTGAGCATCTGTCAGTCAAAGCGTGAGTCTGAGGACTCTGGCAACCTACAGTGACAAGACCAACACTTCCTGCAAGCCTCTCTGAAAATGAGATGAGAGCCAGCCTTGGGCTGAAGGAAGGACCGTAAATGACAGACCACCCCCAAGGGTCCACTTGTTCATTTATTTTTCCTCTGACTTTCCACACAAATGAGGCTTTCTATGGGTTTTGCAACCACGGGGTCTGAGAGAGCCATGCACCTCTATAGCAGCATGGCCCCCAGGGAACGAGGACAAACTGTAGTTCAGAGGAACAAAGGACTTGCCCACAGCTGCACAGCACACTGACCATACACCAGGGGCTGAAACCCAGGCCTCCCGACTCTGCTGCAGCGTGCGTTCAGCTCTCTCAGATGCCACTGCCTGGCATGGCTCACTCAACTCCAGCTTCGCTCACAGGGCACAATTCCTCCTCAGATTCTGGGTCTTTAGCTGAGGCTGGGCAGGTCTTAAGATGGAGTTGCATAAACAACCAAGTTTTAGTCAGTGGGGTAGGACCTAGGGAGGGTCCCTTCCCTCTGGAACGGAAACGGAGCTAACTTTTCTCTGAGCTTAGAATTTGTAAGGCACTGAAATTAACTACAGCTGGGGGTGGGGGGAGAAAGAAACCAAGGGGATGAGTGGTTGGAGAAATCAAGTTGATATTCTATTCCTTCAGCCCCACAGTGAGGATCCACATGGGACCTAACAATGGCGGGCTCCACTTTCCTGCGAGTGTGGTCCACCCCACCCCCGACACCAGAGTAACGCAGACGCACCCCCAAAACTAAGCAGGTGCTGGGGATAAGAGGCATGGGGGCTGGGAAGCAAAGAATGAGCCCAGACCCTCTGGATCCAATTCAGAGCAGAAGCCACTCGTTCCACCTGTGCCGGAATCCCAGGCCTTGGCCGGGGTAGGATTCACCCTGAAATGTCTTCCCCAGGGACATGGTCCACTAGGAGTAGACTCGGTGATGGCCGGGGGCATGCAAGCCTGAGCATGAAGGAGGGAGGGGCAGGATCACCAAGGAGGCAGAGAAAACTTTGGGATCAGACCTGGCTTTGGCACAGCACTTCTTGGGCCTGCCTGCCCATCTGTTGCCCTCCTGAGACCCCAGGGATGGAGAGGAACCTTCCTTCTCCTGTGAGGAGCAATTCTAGCTGACGGAAGCAATAGCGGTGCAACTCCAGGGCAACCTTACATCATTCCAGCCACGCCTGTGCCCAGGTGACCCAACATGGAGCTCTCGGGACTCAACCACTGAACCCGGAGCACTTCAGCCAGATGTGATGCTGAATGGGAAGCAATGACAGCTGCCACAGCCTGTAGGCAGATACTGTTACCCTCTGTCAATGGATGAAGAGCCAGGATCAGAGGGGCTGAGTGACTCCCTCAGAGTCACACAGCGAATGAGTGGCTGAACGGGAACTGGACGCAGGTTTACCTGACTCCATATCCCAAGTCCTTCCCACTCCACTGGGCGGCCCCTGGAAGCTGGGAGCGGTCGGTCGGGGCTCTCTGCGTGGGATTTCTGGAGGGGTTTGCTTCTGGAAGTGTGGATCTGGGAGAGCAGCCAAGTTTGAGTGAAGGGAAGATGCCTGCTGGCCCCGGGGGCAGGGCCCACACACGTGTCTCTCTGCGGGCAGGCTCCGGCTCAGTGCCTGGCGGCCTTGCAGATCTTGTCGTACACCTCAGGGAAGGCGTCCTGGCAATTGAGCTGCTCCCGCAGCTTGTGGTACAGGGAGCCGTCAAACATCTCCCAGAACTCCTCGCGGTTCATGTAGCAGTCGGCGTACAGCATCTGGAACCTGCAGAACAGAGATGAGGGTGAGGACGGGGAGGCGATGGCAGTGGGGCAGGGAGGGGAAGCGGATGAGGGAACCCCAACCGCTGTTCTGTGGTGCGCACTTTGCAGGCAGGAAGCGCTTTTGGATTTCCCTTGTTGAATCCCCTCATGACCGAGCAGTGCAGGGTGGTGCGGGAATTCTAATCCCCATTTTGCAGATGGGAAATCGAGGCTCAGGGTGTTAAGGGGCTTGGCAGTGGAGGCAGAATGAGGAGCAGAACTCGGGCTGCGGGCTTCCCCGTGCTCGGTGCACCACACGGGCTCCCTGGGCCGCTGATAACTGCGCATATTGAAGTGTACCACTTGCTAAGTCTGACTTATGTATACAAACTAGAAACCATCACCTCGGTCAAGATAATGACCGCCCCCCCACCAAGGGGTCATTGCTGTCTACCATCCAGGGATCTGGAATTTTATATAAATGGAAACATCGGCACTCCTTTTTCCTGGCTTCTTTCAGTTACTCTGAGGTCTGTCCGTGTTGTGTAGGTCAGGAGCTTGTTCCAGGCCGTTTTCTGAGCACTGCTCTGATCCAGGCCTCTGTGTAGCTTTCAGTCACGCATTCCTCCCTCCTTAGCTTAGCTTTGGTTTTCTAACCTGGAGTGGCAGCCCCTGAACATATGGGAAACCCCCATCATCTGCACCAGGGCGAGGAGCAGATGCAGAGAGAAGAGGGGCAGGAGCCCGGCACCCCCACCTCACCTTTCACAAGGTACTTCCTGAAGCACTGCCGCTTCAGTGAGTGACAGTCCTGCAGCGACCAGCTGGTCCTGCTCCAGAGCTGGCCGCCTGGGCCCTTCCCCCACGCCCCTGCAGCAGTCCCCTGGGGCAGGCGGCCAAAGGGACTGTGCCACGCTCTGAGCCACTCACCCATGCACGCTGCGGACAAACTTCTCCAACTGCCTCATGCAGGACCTGGCTTCAAAGTGCTTCACACGTGGCTCCCCGTAAGCTCCAATGTCCACGTAGAGCTCGGTCTCATCTCCCTTGGGGTGCACCAGGCCAGGCTGGCTGGGCAGGATGAACGGGCACAGCCAGATGGGGTAGACCTGGGTGGGCCAGGGAGGAGGGTATTGGTGCTCTCTCTCCAACAGGTTGACACGCTCATAGCTGGCCCACACCACCCCGACCTAAATGGAGGCCCTGCAGCACTGTCCAGGGGCCCCTCCTCTGGCTGCTCACAGCTTCATCCCAACCCCCAAGACTGGGCTGGGAGCACCCAACTCCACCACACTCGAGGGCACAATGTGAGCAGCTCATGGCATGCTCGTTACTGGGCCCTACTACTTCTCTCCCATCAGGACCATGGCTGAGCAGGTCCATTTTGCAGTTGGGGACACTGAAGCCCAGAGGGCGGGCATGGGCAGTCCCACGGTTCAGGGAGACCATGGGTTCCTCGGGATGGCTCTTGGCCTGTCCTGCCCTGCCTCAGCTCACGTGGATGTCGTTGTGGAAGGTGTGTAGGGCCTGCATCATGCACTTCATGGGCACCAGCATGTCCTGCACTACGTGGTGCTGCTCGTACAGCTTGCGTAGGGTCTCGCCCTGGGTCAGCTTCAGGAGGGAGATCTTGGGAGGCACCATCCATCCAAAGAGGTAGCGGAAGATGGGGTTGTTGCCGAAGGGAATGATGTCCTGAAAGACAGAGTTTGAAGATGGAGAGAAGGAACCAACCGGGGCCAGGAGCCAGGTCTTCGTTCAGTGCTCAACATATATGACAGGGTCTGCCCCTCCTATTTGGAGGGGCATAGTGGAACCCAGGATTTACCCAGTTGGATTAGGGTTTGATTCTCAGCTCTGGCATTGACCAGCTGGGATGACCTTGGGATGTCACTTAACTTCTCTGAACTCAGTTTCCTTATCTGTAAAATGGGACTTATAAGAATAGTGACATACCAAATGCAAGGCACTCAGCCCAGTGCCTGGAACAAAATAAGGTAAGGCAGCTATGACTGCTTTCCTAGTTGCTGAGGTCAGAGGCTGGCACAGAGCAAACGTCCATGAGCGTTTGAGAGAAAAATGCTGTTGAGTGTGAAGAGGAATCTTCAGAGAGCTTAAGCCATTTCTTTTCTTTTAAAATATTTATTGAGAGAGAAACATCAGTTTGTTGTTCTACTTATTTATGCATTCATCGGTTGCTTCTTTTATGTGCCCTGACCAGAGATCTAACCTGCAACTTTGGTGTATGGGATGACACTCTAACCAACTGAACCTCCCGGCCAGGGCCTTAAGCCACTTTTCTAAGGTCACACATCCAAGACAGCTCTCACTGCGGCGGGCAAGGTCTGGCTCAGGTTCAGTAATGAGCCCACGGGTTTACAGAATCTCCTGGGAGTCTCCTGGGACAAATCTGTCCCACCCTCTGGTTTTGTAAATAAAGTTTTATTGGAACACAACCATGCCCATTTATTTACACACTGTCTATGGCTCCTTTAAGGCTGTAAGGGCAGAGTTGCTCCTAGAGAGACCTCATGGTCCATAAAGCCTAAACTCCTACCTTGCCCTTTACAGAGAATGTTTGCTGACCTCTGCTCTACTGTATGGATGTGGCCTCATTTATTTAATCAGTTCTGTACTGACGGGCATGTAGGTCATTTCCTGAGCATTCCAATGAGTGTCCTTGTGTACATGTGCCCTTGCCCATTTACACGTCTGTTTACCTGCAAGATAAATTCCTAGAAGTGGAAAATTCTGCTTCAGACAGTGTATGCAATTTTAATGGGTTCTATTTTAAGAGCCTGCACCATTTTATACTCTCCCCGACAATGTAGGAGATGCAGTTTCCCACACCCTGGCCAGCATGCGTGTTATCAAACTTTGGCATCTCTCATTCGTAGAGGCAGAAAATGTGAGACTCCTGTAGTCTTGTTTCACCTGCCTTTAGTTCCAAGTGAGACTGCGTCACCTTTTTTATGTTTAAAAACCATTTATATCTTCCCCCCTAAAAATAGTCCACTGTTAGCCAAAAGTTATCAGCTGGAACCAATCCTTTTCCAAAGTCTCAACCTCGCAAAGTTCAAGTTTAAACACTGTGCCTGGCCCTTCTTTCCTGCCTCTGTCTAGCCCCTGATCCGTCCTTCTACCTCGTATGACCCCAGGTCCCATGGCCCTGGCTTCACTCCTGGTCCTGTGCCACCAGCACACCACGGTCAGTCACTGCAGGGACCCTCACCACAGTCTCTTCCCTCCTGGGCCTCAGCCTCCCAGCTGCCCTGGGCTTTTAGCTGTGTCCAGCCTCTACTGGCCTCCTTGCTCTGCTGGGCTGCAGGCCCCACCACAGGTACGGGTCCAGTGGGCCCAGCCTAACCCAGGTTCCCAACCCCAGGGGCAGCCCCTGTGACAATGGCCTTCAAGAAACATGAACAACCTATCTACCTGTCCTTACTTCCCTGTATCAGCCAACCACCTACACTGCTGAACACGAGAACAGCAAAGGGAGGGAAGGACAGGGCCCAGGGCCCCTTTGCTTTCAGTCCTTCCTTCCTCACCAGTCGCTAAGGTGAGATGTTAGCAGAATGTGAATGTTATCAAGAAGGGAAATAAGATTTAAATGTTTAACTTTTATTTATTGAAAATAACATGAAATAGCAAATCCTATATAATAAAAGGCTAATATGCAAATCAACCAAATGGCGAAACGACTGGGGCACTATGACACACACTGACCACCAGGGGGCCGATGCTCAATGCAGGAGCTGCCCCCTGGCGGTCGTCCCCAGGCCAGCAAAGCCAGGTGCCAGCAGGCCCCTCCCCTTCCTGATCGCCCCACAGGTCACCCCACAGATCAGCCCTGATCATGGGCCCAGGCCTAGGGACCCTACCCATGCATGATTTCGTGCATCAAGCCTCTAGTGTTTCTATAAAATTACATCTTTTACGTTTTCTCTCAGAGGAAACAAATGCACAGCTTAGCCTCTTTTTTTGAAAGAACTTTTTGTCCCGCGTTCTTGCTGGTCAGATACCAGGTGCCAAGAAGCAAGTGATCCCACAAGAA